CCGAGCGCAGAGATAAAACCTCGCAAAACCGCCTTACTCAACACCACGTCGATGAACCCCAACCTCAGCAGCCCAAGCGCAGATGCGATAACTCCTGCCTGTACCAAACGCCGTCAGATCGCCGTACACCAAAGACGAAGGGAAACTAAGTAGCACACCTGGAGAGTAATGATAGTAGCCACCGCTATCCCAATCCCATGCTGCTCCTTCTCCCAGTCCGCATCCGGAGGTAGACTCTGCCGTATGTCGGTGAGGGCTTGGCCGACGAGAAGGCTGACTGCCGCAGTGGGCCCGACGTTGAGTTGTCTTGATGTCCCGAGGAAGGCGTAGATGATGGAGGGGAAGCAGCCGGAGAACTACAGCATTATCAGCCTTGAGATTGGAAGGAAGAAGAAAAATATTGCACTCACCAGACCAGCAACAGGGCTCAGTCTGCCCAAAGACGCTGCGTAGCTGATTGACTGAGGTATCAAGACGGAGGACACCGTCAGCCCTGCGACGACGTCTCCCCCAAGGCTGTAATTGACTGTTAGCCCACTGGCATCGCGTGATAGGCAGACTCTGGTAGGACTTACTCGGATACAGTGTACTGCGACATCCACGAAATAGAGGGTATATAGTACTTCGCCCTCTGTACGCGTTGTCTCCATCTCGCACCTGTATCATCATCGCTTCCTGGACAGAGAACACGATCCCTCAGCTTGCGTTCCAACTTGTTAGAAGAGATCCGACACACCATCCGTAGGAGCGCATCCACTACTACTCGGAGAACGACTTGCACCCAACAGACCTTCGCTATGCGCCATGGCTGACGGTGGTAGGAAGTTAGGACACTGCACGGCGCCTCGTGCTGATGTCTGCAACTTTGTGAAGATTACCCCGTTGGGTGTGGTAGGTAGAAAGAGACGACTGTCATCCGTAGCGCTGATGGATGGTAGCTCGGTCGGCAGCCATTAAGGTTACGTATAACCTCAGAAGGAATGACAGAAACTTGGGCGGGAGGTTGTTCGTTCACAGGTGAGCGTGCGAGAGAGGTGGGTGCTTTATTCCGATTTCGGACCGACAACCCTCAGTGGTTGGCAAATCCTATTTTGCCACTTTCCATGACCACGGTTGAGTCTCTTCGCACAGAAGCACTTCCCGAAGCAGGGCTGCGCAATATTCAGATTGAGCAGACTACAGCAATAACTACGTGTCCCGTACTCCCAGAGAAACCACTGTTTCAACAAGGCAGCCAGTCGCCCGCTACCCCCAACCCCACCCCACCCCATCAATGCCCATGTCCCACCGTCGTAGGCGGCTCAATACTATCACTAACCCGACTCTCTGCTGTCCGCCACGTGAACAGCGACGGGCTCCTCGGCATCCTTAGCGCAGGCAACGGGAAGGGCGATATCCTGTACTTCGCATTCGGCGAATTGACCGTTCTCGAGCCAGGCTGGTTCTGCGCACGCGGGACTGGATTCTGGGCCTGATTAGAGAGGGTTCTCGTCTGATTAGGGACGGTTTTCTGAGGCGGAACTGGCTATATCATCATCAAGTTCTTATCCCTTGCGAACCACCCCGGTGCCGCCCCCACCTCCAGCCCCCCTGGACCTACGCCGAAGGGCCCACAGGACGAGAAACAATACTCCGAGAAGGGCGATGATACCACCGACGATTCCGCCTGCGATACGTGGGGTGTTGTTCCGGCTCGCAGATTGGGGCTCGGGAGAGGCGAAGCTAGACTCAATAGGTGATGATCCTATGTCGGTGGTGGTGGTGATGGTGGTTGTGGAGGTACCGTTCGACCTCAGAGAACACTGGCCGTAGATAGCATCGGGGTTCGCGTTGAGTGTCAGGGTCGCAGATTGGCTTGTGAAGACGCTATGATATCACAGTCCGGTGGTAAGCGGCCGAGAGTGAGGGAGCGATCTTTGCTGTGTAGAACGTACTAAAACCTGGTAAAGGGCAGTTTAGCTTTTGACGCATCCGATGATGTGAATGTGGAGGCTCACCATGCGCCGTCCTCCCAGAAGGGCCCTTCGCCGTAGAAGGAATTCAGTAGCTTGATGTCTTCGTTGCATACGCCTCGTTGGACGACGGCCGGTAAACTTGAAAGAGTTCAGGGCACTTGTTATGTAGGAGGGAGAGACACGAGACGCACATCCGATTCCTCGCAGGTGAACATGTAGGGCTTCCTTCCTCTGTGGATTTCCGGAGATATCGCTGATACGTCCCAGGGGCTGAAAACGGAACGAGGGATCAGTCGATGAGATATCTGACCTTGGCAACGGGAACGCACCTGCATCGAAACCGTCGTTCCTCCTGACCCCCTGTTGGCAACTGAGGGGCTTTCATCAGAAAATATTTGCACTAATAAGCGGCGAGAAGGGAATTATCGTACTTGAGGCAAAGCATGCTTAGGGTGAACGCAATGGAGTTGCAGCAGCAGTCGCCTGTGAGCCATGGGTCAGAGTCGAAGACCTCGAGATATGCTGATGCTAGATGACGCACCGACTTGTTCATCGCAATGGTCGGGAGGGAGCTGTGCTGACATCGTGGCGAGTTGGTCTATCAAACGAACCATGAAGTCGATGAACTCTCTCTCTCTCTCTCTATCCAGATTGCGGAGAGAACTACTTACAGATGGGGTTACAAAGACCTCTCAGTCTTGCATACGTCCGACATGTGCAAGGCATTAGCCCAGACCAGACTTGTCAACGTTCGGCAGACTCAGTACGCACATGGTGTCTCTCCAATCGCCTCTGTGTACCATGCCATCTTCTCGTCAGCACAACGGACCAGTCCCTTGTCGTTCGGTGCTGCTGCCAGCGCCAGTACCCTGGACGCGCCGAGCTCATCTTCTAGCAGAAACTTGGGAGCCATAGTGGGTGAGTAGATGAAAAGAAGGTGAAAGAATGGAGGGACCCGGTCGTTGGTCGTCCCTCTGGCGCTACGCCCATGCATTTCCCACAGCCAGAACTTGGACTCCATCATGGTATCATGATTGAGACAAACCGCGACTATTTATCAGCTCTGAAAGAGTATGGAGATGCAGGCTGTATTCCACAGAGCTGAGAGGTTCAAAAAGCAAGCAATGGATTGGCATTGTCGAGCGAAGAGTGCTTGTTGGGCGTCGTTGTGAACATCGTCAACGAGGTGAAAGCGAGTCGGACCTGATCCGCCCGGATCTCGCTCACATGTGAAATACCTCTCACTGTTCACCACCGTCCGTCACTTCCCGCTCCCACCTCTCCATCCACCTCCAACGTCCAAAATGAGCCCCATCACCAAAATCGGCGTCATCGGCGCAGGCCAAATGGGCTCCGGCATCGCCTTCGTTGCCGCTCTCCGCGCCAAATGTTCCCAAGTCCTCCTCCATGATCCGAACCCTACCCAGCTACAGGCGGGGTTGAAGCATATCAAAGCTATCCTCGACAAAGACGCTGGGAAGGGCAGGATAACGACGGCTGACGCGGAGGAGGCGTTTGGTCGTATTAGGCCTGTGGGGAAGGACGGGATTGAGGAGATGGATAAGGCGGGAGTGGGGATGGTCGTTGAGGTAACTTGCTGCGTGTTCATGGAGGACTTGACTTCTTGTACTAACGCGTGTGCATGATAGGCTGCGCCGGAGAAGTTGGAGCTGAAGAGGAGTATCTTCTCTGAGCTGTCCAAGGGTTTGGCGTCGAGCACGATTCTCGCGTCGAATACTTCGTCTATCAGCATCACCAAGATTGCAGCTGCGACAATACCCGCTGGTGTAGCTGCTGCTAGCGAAGAGGCAAAGAGGACCGCCGGCAGAGTCGTTGGTATGTCGCGTCTTTGCCCATTGTACCCCTGCATGCGCCCCTCCAATAACATATCGGTACACAGGTCTTCACTTCTTCAACCCCGTCCCCGTCATGGTGCGTAAATACTTACGCCACTGTTACACCACCGCTAACGCACTGAACAGAAACTCGTCGAGCTGATCTCCGCCCTCCAAACCACCCCCGAGACCCTCGAATCCGCCCGCCAATTCGCTATCGCTTGTGGAAAGGGTACGCACCACAGCTCCGTCCGTCGAGCTCAGACTTACATCCGCCTGCAGAGGTCACCACGTCGCAAGACGTCCCAGGATTCGTATCCAACGCGCTGCTCATGCCGTTCATCAACGAGGTTCCTTTCTCTTCCTTGATTCCTATTCTCGCTCGTTGGCTAACGTGGTCCTTACCTCTAGGCTATCATGTGTCTCGACGCCGGAACCGCCACCCGCGACGACATCGACAAGACCCTCAAGCTCGGAATGAACCACCCCATGGGTCCTCTCCAGCTTGGTTCGTCCTTCCCTCTCCCCTCCATGCCTCTCTCTGTACATCCATACTGACCAAATCCTTCTTCTTTCTCTCTCTCGATTGGTTGGTTTAGCGGATTTGTAAGTACCCTTCTCCCTCTTTCCCTCTTTTCCTCCTCTCTTCCCTCCCCCCTCCCCTTCTTACATCGCATGTACTGATATAATTATTCTCCACAGCATCGGCCTCGACACCTGCCTCAACATCCAAAAAGTCCTCTACGAAGGCACCGGTGACTCGAAGTACAGGCCTAGCATCCTCCTCGAGCGGATGGTCGATGCCGGGTGGGTGGGGAAGAAGGGAGGGAAGGGGTTCTATGAGTATTAGCTGGGGAGTTGGTCACGGAGATCGACCGCACTTGAGCGCTTTCGGTCGTACAATGTGTCGAGCAATATAGAAGACATACGTACTCGAATCGCCAGTGGTGGTACATTCGAAGTCTATCCTGTCCGTGCGTTTGTCCGATATCTCACACCTGATTGAATGAGATGTCGCTTTGATATTTTCGAGGGCAATGCCAACTGTGGGATACTTACTCTCTGATGTATTGGCGCTCCCGGAGGGCTGGTTTGCACTGTTGCAGGCTGCACTGGCTGCAGCGCTAAGCTCAAAACCCAGTAGCCCAAGCCTACAGGGCACGGGATGAAAAAGATTCAACGCTACAAAAGATTGTTGCACTTCATGTAGTGTTTTCACCCAGGCTCGAACTGAGGACCTTCCGTGACATGATTGTTCAGTTCTCCTGCGTCATGTTAGACGGATGCGATAACCAACTACGCCATGAAAACGCTGGAGCAAACGATGACACTGTAGACTATGGAAGACCTAATGAAGGTGGCGCACGGACTTTGTTTTGGTTTCCTCCAATCCACCACCTAATTCCGCCGAAAATCTGACTCTGGCAGTGCTTAAGGAGGGGGAATATACCCTTTCAAAACTTCAAGCAGCAGAGACGAACATCTCAAGCTTTCATCCAGCCTGAAAGCGTTGTACTTAACAACAATGTTACGCCATGTTAGATCTCAATAGTAGTATGCATGAATTCGACCCAAAACACAATGCATCGATCCGAGGCGACTACCTGAACTTTATTACACGTAACTCAGTTTCGCCTGTTGATTTGTACCTGCACACACCAACTTTTTGTATTGCTCCATGTCCTGTAAGTACAACACACATTTTTCTACTAGCCGATGATACGACCAAATTGTAAAGCCCGTTTCTGGTGCAATCTTCAACCTTCTTCCTGGGTTCAAGCTATTGGGCCATACAATCAGACCTTTCCCTTGAATTCATGAGCTGCTCAAGCCGGCACACCGACGCTTTGTGTGGTGGAGAGGCAAAATGTAGAAATCGCTTGACAGTAGCCAAATACTGGCCAATGCGCCGCTCGGTCCCTAATGGTCAGTATAGACAGCTCAAAGTCAGTAATTATGCTGATTATTTGATGGGGAGATCACATTCGGCGCTTAATTTTGCGCCGTCAGTGTTTCCGACGACGAGCTCGCGTGTGTTAGTCTCAGAGCTACCCGTACCCCTTCACCTCATAGGGAGAGGTGTAAGAGGCTGTACTGTACATACTAGGAAAAATAAACGGCCCAAAAGTGCCCTCAGAAAGTGAAAAGCCGCAAATGTATCATTGGATGATGGTGTATCAGTGGCCAGTAAAAAACCGAACAGAAAAACTCAGTCGTTCTCCTGGTCCAGAGCTCGTATCTCGCTCGGTTGGTGGATCATCTGCATAAGGTCGCTGATCCTCCTACTTACTATTGCTTCCATCGCCTCTGGTATCTATCCCCGCATCGTGCTCTCGCGCTCTTTTAGCGCGCTCTGCACTCGAGTTTACTTGATGCAGGACTTACGTGTCGGTCTGGTTCTTTACATGTTGCAGCAACGTTGAGTCCCTTCAAGCTCTACGATTTGACCTCTGAAAGTTGCTTGAAAAACACGACGTTGGAGTTTCAACATCGAAACCTTGGCCATTCGCCGTATATCACTACTTTGTATTGGAGCGTCGAAATCAGGTCTTCCATCAGTGATCATCGCAGACTGTTTCTTTGGAGCTTTTGATCGTGAGAATCAGTCGAGGATCTGGATCGCCTGCTGGTTCTACATACATAAGATATGTGCATCGGGGGTATGGCATGAGTTATCGGCAAATATTCGAGATCATACATCTTAACGTTCTTAACACCCAACTTCCAACACCCAACCCCTTGCGCCACCTCGACCTCAGAATCGGACTAATTTATGGCCCTTTGCGCCCACATAGGGTGATTTTGAAGCATAAATCTGGACAAATCTTGGGGTAAATGCAGAGAAATATCCGCAAGGTATTAGGCAGAATCTGGGTGCCGTCGGTCGACGACACCAGCGCTGGCCACTGAGGATGATGGGCATGATGGCACGACTCGGAGGCTCACTTCAGCAGAGGCATCAGCAGAGCCATGTAAAGAGTGTATTCCAGCACACCATAGGTATCTGGAAGGGCATCTGGAAGTGTGATAGTACCCCGTAGATCCCTCATTGAAGACACGCGGGTGCCAGAAAATCATCATAATATTACAACTTAAATCTACCACGCAAGCCTGGGCGAGGACTACTTTATTGCGCTCATGTTAAAAATGGGATTCTACGTCGCGTATGGAGTACTATACGTTATGCAGGGAGGCACTTTTCTGAAGTGTCGAACCCGCATACCGTATGTACTTACAGTAGGTCAAGAGTTTCACATCATGGGCGGAAGGCCGCATGAAGCCGGGGCTCACTGTGGATATAGAGCAACATGTAGGGAAACAAACGGAGGCCAATCGTGTTACTTCTCGTTGGGAAAAAAGTCTTACAGCATTGAGAAGAATCCTAACTTGAAAGGAATCACCACGAAGCAGATTCCAGACCGGCGTTTGGCTGGACTCACGAAGTCTGAACGTTGAACTCGAGTAAACATGCGAAGTCGCTTCGTTCGACGCGTACACTGCAAATTTCATGCCTTTTTTACTTCAAAAATTGCCGAGAAATATGTTCATACGAGGGCGTTGAGCCTAGCATCTCTTCAACCCCGATAGCTACAGTCGCAGCTGCGCACCACCAGAGTCTCAAGCCTTCCTCATGTCACGACTTGTCAACCACACCCTGATCATCCCGTTCTCTTCGTCACCTCTCTCAGAATCTGACGTATCAAGTTCCTTCGAGGCAATAGGTGGCGAATGGAACCAGACAGCCGCCAGGGACTCCGAGCTGTGCGACAACGTTCTCGGACTCGGAGCCGCGTGTGGGACTACGAGATATACGTCCAATGCAACGTACGAGTCAAGTGCAAGTGTACTCTTGGAGTTCAGTGGTGCGTACTAGAACGACCTAACCAGTAACCCTCCAGCATTAACAAAAGATTCATGCCGTGGTTTCAACAGGAAGCGCTATCTCTATCCAAGGAGCCTACGATTGCACGAACTCGGGGGACTCGGAGACCAGTGACGGCGACTCTGAACCAGCCCTAGGTGGATGCAGAAACCCTCGAATCCTCGTCGTGATGGATCAGTTTTCGGGGAGTGCCGGCTACAGCATCGAAGGCCCCGACGACAAGCGGCGATCTATTGGCTGGTTCAGTGCTGAATACGCTGGGCTACCGACGGGATCGCATACCCTCTACGTGCAGGTTTCTAACACCATTTTCGCGGAAGGTCAGAACATCAGTGACTCTGGCGTGGAGCAGCAGGGGGTTGTTGCGCTTCACTACGCCTCCGTGCATCTTGACCCACTAAGCTTCATCAACGCGAGTGTTGGATCACCTACACTGGCGGTGCGCTGGGATGATACGTCAGCAGTGGATTACGCTGGTGCTGGCCGGAAGGAGATGTCAGCCGATGCTGAGTGGGACCAGACGCTTGTTAGAAAAAGGCGGCCAGACCAGCCCTTCCTTCTAGGATTACGCCGGTATCAGGAGGGAGTTGGGCGTTTGGTCCACCTGGTGTCATGGAGACGGCGAACATAGGTGATTCCGTGATCGTTACATTCTTCGGTGAGCTTCTTCTGCTACTTGCATTTGTCCCTTCCAAAGGGGGACTTACAATACAGCGTTTGGTTCCAAGTCGTCAACGGATTACACGACTCTATCCGCTAGCATAGATGGGGGAGAGCCACAAATTGCCTCAACGTCGACGGCGTACTCAGTCCGAACAGGTGCATGTTTGAGGAGGGACCGGGCGCGCTCAGTGCAAACGACCAACATACAGTCAATCTCACACTCATGGAAATTTCGCCGGAACCACCCGACGATTATAGGTTTACATTCCGCGGGTTTCTGTATACTCCAAGCTTCGACACGCTCGAGGCTGGAGAGAAGCTTCACGAGGAATGGGAGAGGCTTATGCCCGCTATCGATCCTACTTCATCCCTTCCCTTTCCCTCGGACGAACCAGCGGCGCAGGATCTTTCCTCGGACACATCTTCAGTCAACGTACGCGCCATCGGAGGAGGAGTAGTTAGATCTGTGGCGGCGTCGATATTGGTGTGCGCCGCAATCTTCTGGCATCGGCGTCGCGTCAGAGCTAGGCGGACAGGTAAGCAAAATCTATTCGCAAAGAACAAACACATGTGCTTATCTAACCATGAGCGCGTTAAGCTATTCCATTTACCGACGCCCATGCTACAGTTGCAGGCGCGCCTTTCAGGAAAGAACCGTATTTCGACAACAGCCCATATCCGATCACGATACGACGTCCATCACAACAAGCAGCTCCAGCTTTTGCTAACCGGATCGATACCATTAATGGTCACACGGATGGCGTCACAACTGAGGACCTCGACAGTCCTCCAAGCTCCAGGACCACCGAAGACAGCGTACTGAACGAGCCGCACGGTGCTGCACCTGCAGGATACACGGAAGCGATGCAGGATCTCCTAGCCCGCGTTGAGTCTATGGAACGACCACCTCCCTATTATGGTAACACGGACAACGGGTCCATACGTCCACTGTAATGCACGAAGCGCGATTAGGGATCTCCGGCGTCGACGTGCGGACTTGTGGAGTCTACTCTTCTGCCTATGGCCAGTGGTCTCTTTTCGTTGTATCTTTTCTTCTAACTTATAGTTCTGGTGGTCGTATCAACGAAGATGTACGACTTGGCGCCTGCTCCAATCCATTGCCCCCCACTTTATCAATATCAGCGTTAGCTATGTACTGGTACCTAGGTATAGGTATACGCTGCCTGCCGTGCGTTAATATGACGATCCACCTCCCACTGTCGGAGAGTCCCACTGGACAGATTGAGTACAGGGTTCGAATGTAGACACTACTACTAACGGCAGTCAAGGAGACTGAGCGTCGATGTGTAACTCCTGTACGTTGGATCAACCATGCATCGACGAGAACTATACACGTGCAAATAATATTACATTCCATCGAGATACGCGTATACTACAGAGCGATGTAGTAGAACACAAATAAGAGTAATACAAACAGTAAGCAATCACGAACAGAGATAACAGACGAAGATCAGAGAACGGTTCTGAAGCAAAGGCATCATGTCGCGCTGCATGGGTATCGCATGTCAAGAAAAGAGAGAGCGTCGTTCAAACATGCCAGGGTATCGAGATGCAGAGATTCATGGCGGATAAATACGTATGCAAATCGTTCAAGACTGAAAACGCGAGTAGAATAGCACGATAGCAATGAGTCGAGTGTTTGGTGGTCTGGGTCTGGATGTCGACGTCGAAAAGATGGGAAGGTCAGAAAGTAGGTGAATCAGGAAATCGCAAGTGGTGGTCGATGTGCGAGCCGGCGTTGAAG